AAGGGTAATTATGTTGAATGATACGTAGGATTATGAAATTTGAAGACTCGTACATGTCTGCGGTCAAATCTATTTTGGATTCTTTTTATTCACAAAACTTTATCACGTTGCATCCCCTAATAGCAACTGCATCAAAACGCAATCATTTCCTGAAAATAAATTGAAAATTGCATCCATTTGATTGAATTTCCACTTCATTATTGATGTTAGCGTTGCTCGGTTATTTGTACATTAAGCATATCTCATTAATAGTTGATATTCCACAGATAAAGTTTGCGCGTTGCTTCTCATTTATATTTTAGCAGCATCCCCATTATAATTATGAGGGTTATCTCATGAATATTTATTTGGAATGGTTGAGAAAAAAACACAACAAAATTTGCATACCTTAATGACTTTATTTTGTGGACCTCTAATTTTAGTTGAAGTTGTTTGGAGTTCCTCGTTATTTTTGAGGTTAGTATAGTTGGATTTTTAAAGATTTTGTGATGTGTTTGGAGTCTAAACGCTTATAAATAAAACCAAGTCCAGATGTGACACTTAAAAGTAATCCCGAATGGCACAAGTTGGTTAATTGATCAGAAATCCGGCATCAAGCCGGTGGGACTCTGGCATGATGCTAGATTTAAATCGAAACTAGCACCATGCCTGACTCATACTGGATGGGCGCTGGATATCTATTCGATTAAACGACTTGTTCCATTCGGCAATCAAATCCCTTACAATTCGACTACAAAAACCATTTTCAATGTCAAGTCCCACAAGCATAAATCAATTTCCTTCATCTTGCGATAAATGATAAAAAATTCCACATCATCGATACTCAAAAATGTGTTTAGCAATCAATATTATTATCATCATCATCAACATGATCCGCACAATGCATAAAAAAGTAGATAGAAGGGAAACTTTTAAAACTAAATAAACATCGAAAAGGATGAACTCAATTCACATTCATATCAAAATACTTCCTCGCATAGATCGCATATAACATGATGTATATAGAATAAATATACAACAAACGATATGTCAACATGCATCACGTTTCATCTGTCTTTTATTGAGTTCCTTCCGCTACATAACATATGAGCGAGAGTGAAAAAGAAGGAAATAAAGAAAATTGAAGGAAGAGATGTGAAATAAGACGAAGAAAAAAACAAATATCAAACATTATTCAGCATACAGCTTCTTTTCTTTTATTTGGTGATTCCAATGTCTCGGAATGGCTTGTGTGAAATTATATATGCATGAATATATGTGAGTGGGAGTCAAAGACTTTAAGAAAAAAATATGTTTATGTAGAAATTCAAGCTGAGTTCTTTGGAAAAAATATTATGTTGGATTTTTATCTAGGAATCTACAACTTAGGCGACTATTGGTGGCTGGGAAATCAATGTGAAAAGCAGTGAGTCATCTCATTATCAATTACCACTCTTGCTTGAATAATGATGACCCTCGAATTTCCCTAAAATATTCACAAACCACAGTTTTGGGGCTTAGTCGACAAATAATCAAAATAATTCCATTTACAATCGCTCATCCCAAGCAATTGTCAAGAATAATCAATAATTTCCCACAAGCTCAAGCTCGACTCAGCTAGATAAATTCCCAGAATCTCTAAATCCAGCACACACTCAATCACACACCATGAAGACGGAAACTCGTGAAAGAAAAAAGCAGAAAATGAGAAAAAATTTATTTTATTTCTTTTCTTCTTCATAAAATCCTTTCAATACTCTTTCTTTTTTATTCCTCAAAAGTATATATATCTATGACTATGTGCATCAGAGTGTGAATATTGCTGGAAATAAGTGTGTATGTCTTATGTTTATTCTGAATTATTCCCTGAAGCTCTATCGATTTCTCTTCCTTACACATGATCCATTCATATCTCAGTCATTGTTATTTCCATCCTTATCAGTCTCATTTATATCTCTTGGCACAAAAACGAGATTATGCTTCTTTCTGCTTCCGTTTTTAATTAATTTATTGAACTTGTTTGCTAGAAAATTTTTCCCTTCTTCATCTCGGGGAAAATTAATTTTTTTTTTCTAGCTGTATTTTAGGAACGACTGAAATAATTACCGCCAAACAGCTGCTGCTTATTTTACAGCTATCAATGCCACAAAATTTATAATGAAAATAAATTTTTTGCCTCATTTCTTGGGTTGTTTTGTAGTCGCTTAGATTGGAATTTTTTTGCCAGAAAGGTCTGCTTTTTTTAAAAAAAAAAGCTTTAAAATTTTATGGTGGGTTGTAGAAATTTTTGTGGTAATTAAAGGCATTTATCAGATTTGATAAGGATTTGAAATATCCTAGCCAGCTCAATGAGATTCAATTTTAGATTTAAAAGCTCAAATTTTACATTTCATTAAAAAACAATTCATATTAAGCCTTACTCAAGGCTTTGAATGTTTGACTGAAATTTTTTTACACCATCTTTTTTGTACCTGCAACTTAAATGCTATTTATTTTTAACCTATTTTTAAAAAAGAGCTTTGTGTAGGTTGCAAGAGAAGTTTAGTAGAAATAATTTAACTTTTTTATGTTTTGACCTTTTGAACTTCCTGTTTTGAATACTTGATGGAAGTTGAATTTCGTATGAAATTTTACTCATCATTTTCTGAGTTTATGAAGATTGGATGAGGAATTTGTGTAAAGACATAAGGGGCCATTCACTTATGACGTCCATAAAAAACATGAGTTTTAGACCCTCGCTCTGTCACAAAACTGATATTTATCTTGAATTTTGAATGACTTAGTTGATGTACCATCCAGCAAAGAGTTCTAGCAAATCATTAAAATTCCGAAGAAAAATTCTAGAAAAATCATAAATTTCCAATTTTATGAACATTAACTTCAATATCAATAAATGCTGATATCGTAAGCATCTTTTCTCATACTTTATGTCACAAATTCTATTTTAAAAAATTGTTTTGAGCTTTTTTCAATTCAGTTCAAGCAACAAAGTTGCAAGTTGCTATGACGTCAATCAACAATTAAATTTACAATCCCTCCCCCCCCTCATAGATACAAAATCTAAATTCAATCATAAGCTACTCTCATAGCTTTTCAAATTAATAACAAACGAGTTTAAATTGTTAATATCTTCTACCTTTCATCACTTCCATCTCAATTCATTCGAATGATTTAATTTTGTGTATAGAAACAGAAACTTTAATAAACAATAGCAATAGAAGTACAAAAACTTTGAGAACCAATTCTGCAAAACAAGGCAGTAATTGAAATAAAAAAAATAAATGCTTGAAATTTAATTTCCTCGTGGCACTTAACAACAACTTTTTCACATAAACAACGTTAATGACGACTTTTAAGTGGCTCAAATAATGTCTTGTTCATATCACTATAGCAATATCATGTAAATATGGGTGGCAGTTCATTTTAGATACTAAGAAAAGCTCTCATTTGATGTTTTGTAAGTGGGAAGCTTTCTTTTGATGCCTGAAAGGTTTTGTTTGAAATTTCTAGCTGTAAATTCTTTCTCGTGTTACGATGCCGCGTTGTAGGTATCAAATAAACGGTTTATGTGACTTCAATAATTTAAAATAAAAGTAAAATCTTAATCGAGGCTGTGATTTTTGTTTGGATAGCCTTAATCTTCATAATTTCTATACTCTCATCTCCTCATAAACTTTTAAAAACCTTGAAAAATTTTCATTAAAATTCTCAAGCATTAATGCCCCATAGAAAACAATGTCACGTCAAACGACTTAATTTTAAATTTTCCTTTAAAAAAACAAAATTCGCGTAAAAAAATCGTACTTGAGCTTTCTTTTACGCCACACAGCATTTTAATTAAACATCTCCTGACATTTCACAAAAGATAACCACAAAATGTTTTAATTTTTCAAGCACTTGAACGTAGAAAAGTTTATTTAGGAAGCTCAGTAGATTTTTAATAATGTGGTAAACCGCATTTAAAAAATATTTGTCAAAACAGATGGAGAAACTTGAGCTTCTTCGAAGGAGAGAATGAAAAATTAAATTTTTTAAATTCACTTAAAATCATGAAAATAATTTTGTTTACATGAATTTAGGGAGGTGACATGTTTGTGAACGATGGAAGAAGTGTTGATGCTTATAATTGAATTCGCGGGTTGATTGAACGTCATTTTGAATTAGGAAAGATTCGTTTGATGTCTCAATGTGAAGTGTTTTGTATGATTTAATTTGATTAGGTTTATGGTTTTGAGTTCAAGACGAAGATTCGTTACTGAGACTTTTTGATGTTAGAACTCTCTCTATATTATTTTCAAGCATACAAATGTCAGCATTGAATCCTTAGGCATAGACAGAGCCTAAGATACATTAAATGTTACATTTCGCATAGCAATGAGTCCTTTATTTTACAAAGGATGAGGGTTACAATTCATTTTAAACCAAATTAGTATTTATTTGAATTCAAGACTCTATGTTTACACACTTCATGCCTTTAAATGTCATCCGAACAATCCGTTTCCATCAATATATTCAAAATTAACATTTACTGAAAACCCTATAGAAGATAGCTACTCTAAATAGTAGTTTAACTTTTTGCACTATTTTTAAACATAAAGTGAAACATATTCCATTATAAAAGCTATCAAAACACCCAATTACTTAAACTTTAATGCGTGAACTTCACTAGAATTGCTTGTACCTAAAAAGCTCATCGAATTAAAAATTCATCGCTATTGTTCAACATTACATTATGTATTCATAACAAGCTGTAAACTTTCCTGATCAGGATAATAAATAATCAAATATTAATCATATCCTGAATGGAATTTTATTCTGATGTAAAAATTGTAGACCTGAGCAGGTTAAAAATGTTTTTTTTTTTATAGAAAAAAATTATCAAAAAACAGCCAGCAAAGCCCAACCCCACCCAAGGTACTCAACGAAAAAATTATGTTTACATTAAAATTACATAAAAGAGTCTCATGAAAGTGAGGAAGTACCATAAATTATTCATAAAACAAATTCACGTCATGACTCACCTAATGATTTACTTCTGTTTGATATGGCGGCATGTGTAATGTGTGCGGTTAATCCATAAAGTAAAATAAACAGTACTGTATAAGCCTTCCGGCATATGCTTAATCTAATTAGTTTGTTTGAGCACATGATGATGCCTTTTTTCTCCTTTTCTGTAGCTGCCTGTCTTCTTATCACTTTTTTAAACCAAAAAATTTTTTTTTTGGATTTTTTTTGAACAATTATTTTTTCACTGTTTCTTAGTCACTAATACATGCACATACAGACATATAAAAATTATGCCCGAGCAAAAATGATAAAATTTTCTGTTGATGATGATTTATGAAATCATTCTCGTTGCATTGTCATATCATATACAGAAAGTTGACACACAGAAAAAAATAACATAATTTTTGTTCATCATGCACAAATTCTGGTCTCTCAGCTTTTTTTTCTCCTGTGCCTATGTGTATGTATCTGTTCATCCACTCTTTTACTCTCCGTTTTTAATTAAATTTTTCTCATTTTTCACACATTTTATTCACTGCTTTTTATACTTTTTTATGTATCATCTACGCCACCATGTTCAGATGTTGCAACAAAAAAAAATCAACTCCTCCTCAGCTTCTCTCGCTAGGTTGTTTTATGATAACATGATCCTAAATCACATACACATAATTTTGATCCTAGAATAAATGAAAATTTAATATTATATTATTATATATATTTTTTTTTGTGATGTTATGTCTTCTTGCTATTCTGACTTTATTGTCTGTGCTGATGCCGCTGTTGTCTGCTATTTTTCTGCTGCATCATAAATTTTATCATGTTATTCTTTTGTGTGTGCGGTCAGATGAATCAGAAAAATGATTCTTTTTTTTGGCTATGTGCTCTCATTCATTCTTTTGTTCTTCATCCGATGATGTTTTTATGAATGATGAAATATATATTTTTTGATAGAAAAAATAGGAAATTTTTATGTTTGAATTTTCTGTGATTTTTTGATGGGAATGTGATATGTTCAATAATTAAGGAAATGAATTTTTATGTCATGTCATGCAGAATGATTTCTTCTTAAAGTATTTATAGAATTAAAGCTTAAAAGAATCTGAAGCACTAAGTTCCATACATAGATCAGAAAGCCTAAATTGGAGGATGTGTGGCTCAGATGATAGGACCTAAGCTCTCTCTTATATGAGAATGTGGGTTCGATTCATATCATATATTAATCTTAGAAACAAAACTTAAAGTATATGAAGTCAGCTTGGTCTCATTTGTTTGTGTGGATCTGATCAAAATAATCAAATATGATCTAAATCAGATAATCAGTACCACGCCCTTAAATGTAAATTTACAGAAACAATAGCATCTTCTTCAAAATTTCCAATATTAAAGCAGATTCTCTTTAAATCTTCAAACAAAATGATGATGCCAATTTTAAGTCATCAAAAACTTTTACATCATCTACTCATACAGCCATTAAATATCTCATTACATTCCGCTCTACTTAATAACTTCTTCTTTCTTTCCTCAAAAACGAGAATTCATCAAACTTAAATTTCTAAACATAAAATTTTGATTAATCCAATTTTAACCAAAAAGTTTTTAACCATCAACAAGATAAGACAAGAAGACGTTGTACGTGACACATAATTACTTATGTAAATCACATAACAAATAAATAAAATGACAAAGATGTTTTGCTCGTTGGCACTTAATTCTCACAATTTAGTGGATGTAGATAAAGTTGTGGAAATTAATTTAACAAGGCAACGTCTTACCAAACAAATGACATTAAGTGGAAGTGACATTGAGACACCGTCAAAAAAAAAGCTCTTCAAATTCTTTTTTTTTTACAAAAACCTGTTAAACATTAATTCTAATGGCAGGCACTAAACAGACGGAAATTTTTCCACGTAATTTTTTATAATTTTCACAAAACTTTTCCTCCTTGAGCTTTTTGTGAAGGAGGTAAATTTTAAAATATTCAATGGGATTTTATTATGGCGCGTCTGAAAACTTTTAATGGAGCTTAAAAGGGTTAGTTGCTATTTTTTTGAATGGAAATGAGGATGCGATGTAAATGGAAGTTATTCAATGACGAAGTTTGGCTATAATTTTGGTCAACTTTAAGGCTGATCTTCTTCGTAATTAATAGCTTTGAATAAAGTTGTAGTTTTTAAGTAGTGAAGAGGATTTTTGAATTTTTAAGAGGGTTGTTCTCAAAACTGGTGTTTAAGACTCATTCCATAAATAAATAATACTTCTAGGACATAAAATATGACCTTAAACTTTTAAACTCTGCTCAAATTTCGATTTTTTTTTTAACTTTTTGTGTTTAAAAAAAACACTTCAAATCCACCTCAAGAATTTTCATCTTGAATGCTCATATTAAAAAATTTTCCTTACTCAAATGCTATGTCGCAGCACAAAGCTCCTTAAAGCTTCTCAAAGTAAAATAAGAAATATTTTCTTCATCTTTTTAACTTGAGCATTCAAGAAGGAACTGAAAATATCGATTTTTTTCGAACCTCCTTCAATAAAGCCTTCCGAAATGGAACAAAGAAAAGAAAAGAAAAGAAATTAAAATCAATATTCTTATTAGGGGTCGTGTTTAAATAATGTCTTATATCCTCGAGAAGCTTAATGTAGTTTTTAGGGAACCAATCCAGTCACAGAGAAGTTGTCTGGTTACAAAAATTGAAATTTTCCACAGTGTGTCGCTATTAAAGATTAAAGGACATATTGCGACTCTTAAGCAGAGAATGTAGCCAAACCTCACTCTTCTGGTCTTCAAATCTCGTCACTTACGAACGATCCTTCATGCTCATCTCGAATAAAATTAAATCAAAATTTCTCGTCATGGAAAATGATTTGATTATCGGTTCTTCGACCTGAGAAACGCACGAACATAAAAAAGAAATTCCGTGCCATCTTTAATAATGAATTTCTCATAAATTTCTTTGCCTTTTGCCTTTTTTTTCATCCTCATTTTTCACTCCGTTTCCATCGTAAAAAGATGTTTAAATTTTCAAGGCTCTGGAAAATGTTGAGCGTAAATTAAATGTACAGTCGACTTCATTCTCCACTTCTTTGCCTTTTTTTCCGTGTGAGTTTACTTGAATGAATCCTTAAAACACAAATCACGACTTTTTGGCGGGTTAGGAAATGAGAATGTTGTATCAATGCTTCCTCAATCCTCTCATTTCATTATAAATTTAGTATCATGTTATATGTTCTCTGTGTACATGTGGATAGGGACCATACCCCTTCGATGCTTTGATATTTATACTCTACCAGCCCCCATCCCAATTCTCATAATAAACCAGATGAGCTTAACGTTGAGGATGAGAGAAAAAGGTTTCGATTAAATTTTCTTATCACGTGAGGCGTGTGAAAATCGATAAGTATCGTCTGATTAGTTCAATTTCCTTTCTTGTTTTCGAAAATTTACCCTTTTTCTTCTTTAGCATCTTTGACTGAATTTTATTATTTTTAAGACATTTTATGTAGTAAATTTGGGGGTATTGAAGTTTATTGTCTTGACTTTCTCTTAAGAATAGATGAAGTCGCTGTCTTGATGGAGGAGAATCTGGGGGTTGAAGGAGATGTTTTTATATTTTATTCTCGGAAATTATTTTCCATTGTCTTTGATGTCTTTGTTGACTTGGAAATAGATTAAAAGCTTCGGAGGTGTGAATGGAAATTATTGGATGGGTATTTAAAAGTATTTTAGCTTATTAAGATTGATTTAAAATTGAAATGAGTGTTATTGAACTAAGAAGTGACCATTCCACAATATTGGAGTTTTAAGAACCCCCCCCCCCCCCCCTTCCCCTCTCAAAAGCTCTCTTACTCTTGATTAAAGTCAAGTATCTTTTCAAAAATTCATAGAATTCAAAACAAAATCAATTTGAAACCACCTCAAACGTGAACAGAATTAAAAGCACGCATTTCTATTAAAAGCACATCCAGCTCAAACATCAATATGAACTAAATTAATTGGACTAAAAGCTTTTGACTTTTTCAAAAGCAAATTCTAGCACAGCAAAAAAAAAAGAACACGCGGAAATGAAAATGGAAGAGAAAATTTAATTTTTTTGCTATAAAAAGCATTGCTCGAACTTTATGAGTCAAAGCGAGGTAAATTATGCTTCTTTTCATCACCCTTAGTTCTGTATACTCGTGCGTACACATGTACAGATTCTCACAGACACAAATTACTTTTCATGCTGCTCTCATCTAATCCTCTATATTTTCCACGGAAAAATTGTAACATTTAAGCTCAGCTTTATTTCAAAATAAATTAAAGCTTTTTTTCTTAGACATGCTCAAAATTGGAGATTTGGGAGGAAATGTCGTGGAAATGTTTGTGAATTTATAAGCACCTGTGTATGTAATTTGTAATTAATGATGTTTGTGGGAATTTTCTCTTTGTTTAAAAACTTATGAAATTTTTAAGGCATTGTTTTCGTTGACACGTGGCGAAAAGAACATGAGTTTGTTTTATTCAAACTTCTGTTACAGTTATCAGGAGCTGTTGCTTTCGTAGTTTAGAATATGAGCTCAAGTTATTAATTATTGATGCCATTATGGAGGAGTTTGAATCGATTACTTTGAAAGGCGAATATTAACAGCAATGAGTCATTATAGAGTATCCAGGCAGCTACGTCATTAGCAAAGTAATGGCAAAATTTCTCAAAACCACTTCAATTTAAATCAGTCATTCTCTTGGTCACAAAAATCCAGGTCACCAGTATTTCCACATCAAAAATGAATTTGCCGTTCAAAAGAGCCACTTGCCATAGAAATTCATGAAAAATTCAAAACAGCTTTTCACAGATTTTTCTTCTTCTCAACATCGCTACAAAACATTTCATCTCATAGAAAATCTCATAAAAAGCTTGAAGTGGAATTAAATCCACAATTTTTTCCCCTTTTGATTCTCAAAAAAAAAGCAGCAGCAACACAATTTTCCATTTTCAAATATTTTCTTTCCCTCCCATAAAAACCTCTCCATTTCCATTTTCAAGTACTCGATTCAATAATTCATGCATAACATTTTTTTTGCAAAATGTTCATCGCTTATTTGTGTTTAAAACCTGTTCAACTTCTCGAAGGAAAGCAACAACAAAAAAAGCCAGAAGCTCGAAAAAAAACAAAATTTATTTCCACAAAATTAATCAGCAACCCAGAAAAGCGTTTTATGAGATTTTATGGCGCCCGATGAGCGAGTAGCTGCCAATTACGCGCCTCCCATTTTTCCCATTCATTTTCTTTTTTATTTTATGGAATTTTTTTTGCGTGCTTTCTTTTGCATTTTTTTTCTCGGTGTATCTGTGTCTATTTTTGAATTATGCGAATCTGCCAAAATCAACAGACGATATTTAAGCCTTTTTATTCACGACTCTTTTTTTCTCCATCCATCCACACATCCTCTTAATGGCTCTGTATCATTTGACATTTCTCTTGCACGCATAAAAACCGAGGATTTTTCCTCCAAAATCTTTTTGTACTGTAGCATCAAATAAATAGATGATGATGATCATGAGGAGGAGACGAAGCAAAAGCCATGCAGCACTTTCGCCAACATTGGTAGCAATTATTAGTCTGAGTGATTTATTAGCCTTAATTTTTCTTCTTTCAATTCATTTTTTTGTTCTGTCTGTTATGTATTGCGATTCTG